TATTGCCTATTACCCTACTTTTCCCTCTCTCGCTCCCCTCGCTTCCTTCTCGGTGGTGGTGATGGTGGTAACAGTATGAACTGCCTGACTGGTGCAGAAGATGATGCAGACTGAATGCAGACTGAAGAACTAAAGACAAAAGACAGAAATAATTCGCACGCCAACTGCCGCCGCCGCAGATAGAGAAGAAGCTTCAGCTACTTCAGCTGGCTGGCTCAGTAGTGGCTCAGGGCGTGCGTCCGTGTGCGAGCATCAATATCCAGTGCAGTACAGCACAGACGAGAGCGCAGATCAAGGCGATTGCCTGCAGGAGGATTGGAGGGAGGATTCGAAGTGATAATACGTACTTACTGCAACGACAACTTTGAGGTAGAACAAGCAAAACACAAACACACACCGTACGACAGATGAAGAAGTTTCTGTTGTTGCATTGAGAGTTAAAAGTACTGAGAGTTCACCAGTTGCTGCTTACCTTCTGGTGCTGGTGGTGAAGACTTCGGTGACGACCAGTCTGTGTAGCTTCTGCTGCTGCTGCTGTTCTTCAGTTGAGTGGTGGCAGTGGTGGAGAGGAGGAAGACAGTAGTAACACAACACTGACGCAGAGTTTTGGTTGCGCCGACGGACAAGGTGGGCAAGGTGGCGATGCCGAAGTCAACAGACACAGACAGATAGACACAAACTGTGCGAACTGACTTGGCGGGTTGAACTGAACTGAACTGAATACACAGAGAGTGCAATCCTTTTGGCCTCTTCGGTTGTGTGTGTGTGTGTGTGTGTGTGTGTGTGTGTGTGTGTGTGTGTGTGTGTGTGTTTGACTGACTGACTGGCCGCTGACTTGGTCAACGCGACGACGAGGACGGCGACGGCAGAGAGCGATGATGTTTGCAGCAGCAGCAGCTTCGGCGACGGCGGCAAGAACGAGTTTGAAGTCGGAGTCAGTCAGAGTCAGACGACGATTGTGAAGCTGAAGCTAAAGTGGCTGCTTCGGCGTCGACGAGGGCGCCCGTTTGGAGCAATAGCAGCAGCAGTTGGAGAGGGAGAGAGCGCCAGTTGAGGTGAAAGAGCGAGAAGATTATTTGAGAGGAGAAGACGGAGAGAGAGGATTCAATGCCTCGGCGAAAACGGGTAAAGGAAGAACGAGTGACCATCTGCTGCTTCTGCCTGATGTTCCTCTCCTAAGCATCAATTCGAATTGATTGCGGAAGCCGGGTATTAGAATCCAGTTGATAGGCGGTGGCGGCGACGACAAAACACAGAGCACAGTTGAGCAGAGCAGAGCAGTTGAGGCGCTTCTTGAGCTACTTTTAGAACCAACAGCAGCAGCTGCAGCTCACTGTCAACCGAGATTGGCAGGTTGACGAAGATTAGTGGTGTTGGTGGTGACGATAATTGACGTCGAGGGTGACTTCAATTTGGTGGTGGTGGTGGTGGTGGTGGTGGTCGATACCTCTTCAGACTTTGATTTGAAGACGAGAGAGAATCAATCGCTTTACTTGGCTCACGAGGCAGTGATTTGTTTTGCCGCCAACTGGCCCCTCCTCCCACTCCTCTGCACTCTGCACTTGGCCTTTGACCTGCTGGCGCATGTGCAGAGAATTCTTTTTCTTCTGATGATCCAAAACGCAAACATTGTATTCAAATAGAAGAAGATAAGCTAAATCTTGATCCCAATCCAGTGAATCCTTTGTTCGAGGCAGCGGCAGCAACAGCGTTTGAACTTTGCCCAAAGAAAGAGGCCATTATCGAGCTTACCAACTATGAAGGGAAAAGAAGAAATCGACCGTTAATTCAATTGACCTGAACAGCAGCAGCAGCAGCAGCAGCAACAGCAACAACTAACTCTTCTCAGCGGGCAACTGTCTTCAACAACAATAACACATTGTAGTACATGGTTGCCCCGACAATGAACGACAATTGGACACTTTCCACTGGTTCCACAAAAAAAAGTCGGCTAAAGGCTATTCAATATTCAATACGTCTCGTCAATACTGCTACTATTTGCTGGCCCAGCAGCAACATCAGCAGCAGCAGACAACAATGCTCGGCGAGTAGGAGAAAGTGAAGCGCACCAAACCAAACTCAGCGAGGGGCGATCATTAGCATTTAGAGTAAGAAGAAGGAAGAAAGGAAAGAAAGGAAAATGATAATTTGCAAATGACCACCNGATTCTTCTGATGATGATGATGATCCAAAACGCAAACATTGTATCCAAATAGAAGAAGATAAGCTAAATCTTGATCCCAATCCAGTGAATCCTTTGTTCGGGGCAGCAGCAACAGAGTTTGAACTTTGTCCAAAGAAAGAGGCCATTTTCGAGCTTACCAACTCTGAAGGGAAGAAGGGAAGAGGAGAAGAAATCGACCGTTAATTCAATTGACCTGAACAGCAGCAGCAACAGCAACTCTTCTCAGCGGGCAACTGTCTTCAACAACAATAACACATTGTAATACATGGTTGCCCCGACAATGAACGACAATTGGACACTTTCCACTGGTTCCACAAAAAAAGTCGGCTAAAGGCTATTCAATATTCAATACGTCTCGTCAATACTACTATTATTTGCTGGCCCAGCAGCAACATCAGCAGCAGCAAACAACAATATCTCGGCAAGTAGGAGAAAGTGAAGCGCACCAAACCAAACTCAGCGAGGGGCGATCATTAGCATTTAGAGTAAGAAGGAAGAAAGGAAAGAAAGGAAAATGATAATTTGCAAATGACCACCACCGCGCGGACTGCACCAATCACTGCCCTGCTGCCGACCACAAGACAGGACAAATTGGTGGGACGCCTCAAAGAGCGATTTCTGTACTTCTGCACGGATGACCGACAAAGCTGACGCGGCGCTCATTTCGAACCGAACTCGATTGAGAGCGAACGAAATTCACTTCAGAGATCTACAGTTCGGAGAGCTGCAGACAACAACAGAAACAAATGGCGACTGACACTGCCAGTAAATACCGACAATTTGCGGCCACCACCACCACCACCACCACCACCAACGCCGCAATTAGCACAACTTTGCAAGAACGGGTGGCCGCTGTTTTTTGTCACTTTGTGACAACTCTCCTTTGTTCCTTCGAGCTGCTGCTGCTAATTTGGCGACAACAAAAAGCCGGAAGATGGTGGCGGTGGCGGTAGATCGTATCAGCAGTGCAGGTCGCCTAACCTTGCTCAACTGGCCACTGATTGCAATCATCATTACCTGTTCTGGGGGGGGGCAAGATCACGTGCACCAGAACATCGAACCGACATTGTCAGAGCTGGAAAATCAGTTGCAAAAAAGATTGGCCAACTTCAAAGCGCCGCTGTACAGCGCAAAAGCAGCAGCAGCAGCAGCAGAATCAACTGCGACTGTGCAGCGGCGTCGACAGCTGCCAACAGCTGACTGAAGGCGGCGCCGTTGTCAACACAACAACAAAACTGGCAAAACTTTAAAACACACACTGACACCGAGTGTGTGTTGAAGAGTACCACCACAGCTAATGTTTGCCGGCGCTGGTTACTGGTACTGGAAGCCGTGATGAACAGAACCGAACAGAACAGTTCGAGAAGCCAAAAGAAGCAGAAGGCAACGTCAGCTAACTAAGAGACGATCAATATTCGGCGGCTCACCTCAACGTTTTGAGACTGCGGCGGCGGCCTCAGCAGACGACCGACTTTGGTGGTGGTGGTGGTGGAGGCCTCAACTTGTTCCCCAGTGCCTCAACATTCTAAATCAGTGAATCTCTAATCAACTCCATAATGTTCTCCCTGCTGAACGGCTTCTCGGCGATCAAGGGGGCGATCTACCTCTTCTTCCGGTGCCTCCTCAAGGGCTTCCTCCGCCGGACGACCGGCCTCTGCGAGCTGCAGCGCATCTGCTACGCCGACAATGTCGGCTCCCGTCGCGCCAAGGGCGTCGGTAAGAATGAGCTTAAAAGCTTTTGATCTTTGTCTAAATCTTTCCTTTTTCTCTCTGTAGAAAAGTCCATCACCCTCTCCCACAGCTCGGCCATTCAGCGCTTCCACGAGGAGCTCAACGAGCTCGCCGATTCCGATCAGCTAGTCAACAACTGGCCGGCCGTGGAGCGGGCCATCGAGGTGACCATGCAGGTGAAGCAGATCGACCGGACGATTCACGAAAAGTAAGACCATCTAAACTCCTGATTTTTCAACCTTCTAATTTCGAACTTCTCTATTAGATTCATCGACCCCTACCGCATTAGTCTAGTGCAGGTGTACGGCTACCGGCAGCTGCTGGCCCGTCTGGAGAAGGTGCGCAGCATCAACTACGAGGCGGGCAATCGGGACCACCAGACGCTGCTTCGCAAGCTGTGGACCCTCCTGCAGCCGGACGTCGAGCTGGAGGCGCTGGTGAGCAAGCAGTGGGCGGACATTGGCTTCCAGGGCACCGATCCCAGTACGGACTTTCGCGGCATGGGCCTCCTCTCCCTGGAGAACCTCGTCTTCTTCGCCACCGTCTACACGGACCACGCGCGGAACATACTCTCCCACTCGCTGCATCCGGTTCATGGGTAAGAAATGATAATAAAATTGAAAACTTGGAAGAATGTGTTTTCTAAATTGCCTTCTTTTTCTGCAGCTTTCCCTTCGCCGCCGTGGGCATAAACATCACCCACCTGGCGCTCAATCTACTCAAGGGCGACTACCTGAAGACGCACCTCTTCAACNCCACTCGCTGCATCCGGTTCATGGGTAAGAAATGATAATAAAATTGAAAACTTGGAAGAATGTGTTTTCTAAATTGCCTTCTCCTTCTGCAGCTTTCCCTTCGCCGCCGTGGGCATCAACATCACCCATCTGGCGCTCAATCTACTCAAGGGCGACTACCTGAAGACGCACCTCTTCAACGCCGAGTCGCGCCTGTACGAGGTGGAGGACTTTCACAAGATCTACTGTACGTACACTGTGAACATAATTTTTGCTAATGAGACTAACTTCTTCTTCTTCTTCTTCTTTTGCAGCCTACCTCTTTGCCTCCTTCGACAAGCTGTGGGTGCGCTCGAAACCGGCCTCGGTGATGGAGTTCACCCACATTCGGGACAAGTTCGAGGCGGCGGTCATTGAGAAGCTGCGCCAGCATGACGCCGTCTTCAAGTGGGACCCCTACCTCGAGCAGGTCTAGTCAAAGTGGAAAGGAAGAAGAAGAAGAAGAAGAAAATAGAAGTCCAGTCTTGTTAGTTAGAAGACACACCGTTTTGCACCTCACTTGCCTTACACCCTTCCTCCTCCTCCTCCTCCTTGCTCTGCCTTTGCTAATGTCCAACATCATCATCNTCCCTACCTCGAGCAGGTCTAGTCAAAGTGGAACAGAAGATGAAGAAGAAGAAAATAGGAGTCCAGTCTTGTTAGTTAGAAGACACACCGTTTGCACCTCACTTGCCTTACACCCTTCCTCCTCCTCCTCCTTGCTCTGCCTTTGCTAATGTCCAACATCATCATCACTGACCAACAGACCAAGTTGACCATCATCATCATCGTCATCAACGAAACACACCACAGCAAGAGCCTGCTGTTCCCTGTTGACCCCCGCTCCCGTAGCCTTTCATTTCCACACTTTGCGAACTTCTTCACCTCCTCACCCGGCCAAAGTCCACCACCACCGCCACCACAGCTCACCTTCCTTTGAACTTCACTTGTTTACTAGTAACTTAAAAATAAAGAGAAAATGTAAAGATACTCTTTTTAGGCATTTAGCACAGAAAATTAGAGACAGAGGAAAGGGTAAAGGGAAGGATGGCAGTCAGGCAGGCCAGAGTTGCCCTTGGATACTTCCACTGTAACAGTTGAGTTGAAGTGAACTGAACTGAGCAGGCTTTCACAGCTTTCACTCTGCTCTAATAAAGCCTAGCAACGAAAAAGAGAGCAGAAATAGGTGGGGAAAGCGAGGNATCCACCACCACCACTACCACCACAGCTCACCTTCCTTTGAGCTTCACTTGTTTACTAGTAACTTAAAAATAAAGAGAAAATGTTAAGATACTCTTTTTAGGCATTCAGCACAGAAAATTAGAGACAGAGGAAAGGGTAAAGGGAAGGATGGCAGTCAGGCAGGCCAGAGTTGCCCTTGGATACTTCCACTGTAACAGTTGAGTTGAAGTGAACTGAACTGAGCAGGCTTTCACAGCTTTCACTCTGCTCTAATAAAGCCTAGCAACGAAAAAGAGAGCAGAAATAGGTGGGGAAAGCGAGGAAAAAGAGAGAGAGAGTTACCTGGTAACCCAGCTAAACTCTGAAGGTAAAGTGCAATCCCCGTGAAAATGATGCTCATGCGCGAGCAGCGAACAACTACTCGCATCACCGAGCAACTTCCTCTCCTTTTCTCATTGTCTGTGAGCGAGGAAACACACACACTTGTTGCCTCCCGTCCTGTGCGCGCATCAACCAGCACACAGAAGTCTTGTTCAACCTTCCAACTGATCATCAAAAAAAATTGAAAGCTCCTGATCAAAGCTCGGGGTAAGTGAAGTGGCTGGGGAAGAAAAAACTGATGGCTCGTTTTATTGTGCTATTCAACAGATCCTGCACACCTCCAAAAACATCATGTCAAAGCGAGAAGCTCACTTTGACCAGCAGGAAGAAGAAGAAGAAGAAGAGCTGGCCAAGAAGATGATGAAATGGGCCGATGAGGTTGATAAGCTAGCTCAAGCTCTGTACAAAGCCTGGGTGATATGTGAGGAGGCCGACCAGGTGAATACACTACCCCACTACGAGGACAACGACGCGGTCCTTGATGCTCTGGTGAAGAATGCGGTCAACATGTACGACGGCGTCATCGACAGACGCCTGCTGAGCCTGCGTCTGGTGAATCGCGCCTGGAAGGCCGCCGTCGATCGCCTCATCCGCACCTGCCAGGCGCTCACCATTGAGGTGACCTTCAGCAAGCGGGCCAGCTCGAATTCCGTTTTCAATGTCCACCACCACCAGCGCCGCCGCCGCCGCCGCCGACCACCACCGCCACCGCTGCTCTCCTATGACCGCTACATGTACGTGCACGACGTGGCCGGCGAGTTTGGCCGCCTGTCTCGGCTGTCCGGCGATGACGCCGTCTTCGAGCTGAAGGGCCCGCTGATTCGGCTCAGCAGCCTCACCCAGCTGACTGCCTTCAAGTGGTACCTGCGCAGGTCGGTGCTGGCCGGCGTCGACCAGATCACCGGCCGGCGGTGGACGATGAAGCAGCGGGAGCTGTCGCTGGCCATCACTGACACGGACGCTAGGAGCTGCCAAGAGTTACTGAGTACTCAGTTACTCCGAGGGTCAAGTAATATGCATATGGAGGCGTATTTCAGTATGCACTTCTTAAATTTGAACCTTATCGTTGCCGTTGTTGTTGTTGTTATCCTTACATTGAACTCTCTCTCTCTCTCTCGTTTTGCCTTCGTTTTGTTTACCTTTTTTAGAACTGCTCCAGCTGGAAGGACTGTTTCCCCGCCTGGAGGCGCTCTACCTGAACTTTGCCCTCGACGATGTGGTGAAGGCGTACTACGGAAGACTGCTGGAGGGCGTAGCCGAGCGCCGATCGAGTCGCCGTGGCCGTGGCCAGCCACAGCCATGGCCACGGCCACAGCTGAAACTGAAAGTTCTGAACATAAACATCGTCGAGGGCTACCTGCACGGAGACTGGCTGGGCGAGTTGACGGCCAAAGTGCTGCGGCCGCTGCTGCCTCAGCTGGAGCACTTTGGCCCGGTCTTCGCCCGGTACGATCTGAAGAAGGTGTTGAGGTTCTCGGCCAAGTTGACCTCCCTCAAGGTGGACTTCCTGGAGAGGGGCTTCGAGGGCATTCCGCAGTATCGGGTGAAGCACTCTGCGAAGAGGGTGGCCCACCGGCTGGCGGGGATCACCTCGCTGGTGCTCGCCACGCCGACGTTGCCGCCATTGCCAGACCAGTGGGGCGAGTTCGAGGACGAGGACGAGGACGAGGACGAGGACGATGAGGTGGGGGAGCTGCTGAAGCACTGCACCGGCGTCCGCCGGATGAAGATGGTCCGAAAGCGGTTCCGAATGGTATATGAGCAATACCAGGTAGGGTCTTTCTTTCTTTTCCTAGTCAGCAAGCAAATACCTTCTTACCACCAGTTTTTGTACCCATTTTCAGATCTTCGACAGTGATCACCTTCGCCGACTGGCGCCAATGGCGGCCACCCTGCAGGAGCTGACGCTGGTCAACTACGACCTGGATCCGATGGGCGACGGCCCGGAGGGCACCGTCTTCCCGGAGGTGACCAGCCTGACGGTGGTGGGCGACCTGCCCATTCTCGAGGGCTTTCGACGGCACCACTGGCAGGGACGGCTGCGATATGACTGCGCCGGCGTCGCCCACCTCGTCGACGTGCCGGCGCTGGTGGAGCTGCTCGGTGGGCAGTTTCCCCGCCTGCAACGGCTGACGCTGATCGGCCAGGTGTACCGCCACAGGGAGGTACTGAAGCAGCTGCGGCGGGCGCTGGCGAGCACCGAGGTCACCGAGGTGCAGCTGCACTTTGCCGACAATGACATTCGGAAGTCGCTGTACGAAGGGCCGGCCAGGCTGTGAAAGCACACAGCGCGGACGGCTGGCAAAAGGACCTACAGGGTCAGCAAGGACGGTAGGATGCGTACACGCTCACCATAATACGCTTACCCCTTGTAGTACAAGTCTGGCTGCTGAGTTTATTGCTGTTTGGGATGGGATGGTAATGATGACTGACTGACAGACTGATGAACGCTATACCTAAGCAAACTCCACCTTTGATATATTGTCTAAAATCGCAACACTTTTTAACCCTCTGTATCGTTATCAAAAAATATCAAAAAGTATAAATTGGAAAAAGGCTCACCAGAGTGCTACAAAGTTTTTTTAGGTCTTGATATCACAGTCATTTTTGCCACCTTCTGCTGGCTACTTTCGGTTCATTGCAACTTTCACTACTACTACTGCTGTTGTTGTTGTTCCTCGCCAGCTGGTTCCCTTGTTCCGTTGTGGGGCAGTTGCAGTTGCTATTGTTGCTATCACCCCCTGCACCAAGAAACGGCGCAACCGGAGGAGGAGGAGGAGCAGCTCCTCCTCCAAAGGAGCGGGCGTAGCAGAACTCCGGCGCCAGGTCAATGTCGGCGGGCGGGACGAGCCAGGCGTAGAGGAGGTGCATGATGTGGCAGATGATGGTGATGGCGAGGAAGAACATGCCCGTGGCGAGGTCGAAGCGCCAGAAGTGCTGCACCCGCTCGCTGATCGGGTCCACCGGGTCGCGACTCACTGACTCGTAGACGTTCATCGTCCGCACCAGAATGTCGTCCCACTGGTAGAAGCGCTTCACCTTCTCGTGGCAGACCTTCGGCGGGAGCACCTGGCCGGCCACGCGGTCCTTGATGGCCGCCTGCAGGCCCTCGAAGAGTCCCTGGAGAAAGGAAGAAAATTTGAGCAAAAAAAAAAACAAAACAGAACACACTGGCTTACCTGCACCGACGGATCGGCGAACCAGATCAGCTCTTTGGGGAGGACCTCGACGATGCCACCCACTCGGGTGCTGACCACCTGCAGCCCACAGGCGGCCGCCTCGACGATGGCCATGCAGAAAGCCTCCGTCAGCGAGGAGTTGAGGAAGATGTCGCCCATCACCAGCACGTCCCGCACCTTGTCGTGCTTGATGGGGCCCAGCAGCGTGACGCGCGACTGCAGCCGGTGCCGCTCGATCACCTCCTCGAGGATGATCCGCTTCGGGCCCTCGCCCCCGATTAGGAACTTGATCTCCGGGTACTTGGCGCAGATGGAGGGAATGACGCCGGCCAGCAGGTCGATGCCCTTGCGGTAGACGAGCCGCGAGACGACGACGATGGTCACTGGTGAGTAAAAGGAAGAAATCTTAGCCAAGTTACAGAGGTGATTGGGAAAAAAACACCTACACTCCTTGGTCGGCTTCACCACGCTGGGCGCTGTGGACAGCGGTCTGAAGATGTCCGTGTCGACGGCGTTGGGAATGACAAAGATGCGGTTCGGGTCGACGCCGGCTCGAAGGGCGGTGTTCTCTTTGCTGGGCGAAAAGTAGAGCTCGTAAGAAAACTGAAAACCCGTTAAAATCACCACCAACACTTACCCCGTATGCGAGACGCAGATGACGCGATTGCAGACGGAAAGAAAGACCTTCAGGAGCTTATTGGTGATGATGGCACTGGCGTCGGCGAAGCCGAACAGCGAGTGGTCGGTGAAGACCGTCTTCAGACCGAGGGTCTTCGCGTGGAACATCGCCTCGTGGGCCAGGGCGGAGAAGGCGGAGTGGCCGTGGACGATGTCANTTTGCTGGGCGAAAAGTAGAGCTCGTAAGAAAACTGAAAACCCGTTAAAATCACCACCAACACTTACCCCGTATGCGAGACGCAGATGACGCGATTGCAGACGGAAAGAAAGACCTTCAGGAGCTTATTGGTGATGATGGCACTGGCGTCGGCGAAGCCGAACAGCGAGTGGTCGGTGAAGACCGTCTTCAGACCGAGGGTCTTCGCGTGGAACATCGCCTCGTGGGCCAGGGCGGAGAAGGCGGAGTGGCCGTGGACGATGTCAATTCGCTCCCGGACTAGAATGTGCCGAATGAGGGGGAAGCTGGTGAAGAGGGTGGGCAGCGTGCACTGGTTGTACACCACCCAGAAGGGCAGGTAGTAGACCTTGAGGCCGCCGGTCANGATTCGCTCCCGGACTAGAATGTGCCGAATGAGGGGGAAGCTGGTGAAGAGGGTGGGCAGTGTGCACTGGTTGTACACCACCCAGAAGGGCAGGTAGTAGACCTTGAGGCCGCCGGTCATGTAGCGGACGCCGGTGCGGTCGCCGTAGGCGTGCGTGATCAGTATCACCTTGTGGCCCTTGCGGAGGAGACACTGCGACAGCTGGTAGATGTGCGACTCGACGCCGCCCGTGTTCGGGTAGAAGAAGTCGGAGGCCATGCTGAGGGTGGTGATGATGGTGATGGTGGTGGTGGTAATGATAATGGTAAGGGTGTTAGTGGTGGTGGGAGGATGAGATAGAAACGTGTTATTAAGCTGAAACTGGTACAACAGCAGATCACCTACCAAATTCGGTACATCGTGGAAAGATCTTAGAAAGGAGGTGCACTGAAGATTACCCGCAGATTCAGTCCCCCCAAAGTAGAACACCCGAAACCGCCCAAAGGAATTCGAGGCGTTGGATTCGAAAAGACGGCGAAAAAAAGAATCCACAGCTTTCCGCCGCTGCTGCTGCTGTTGTAAACAAACACACGCCATCTACGTATGGCGCCAAAAAATGGATTTTCGGTACATTTCCCCATTTTCCCATATCTTCTTATCAACCTGTCGTTTTCTGTACTTGTCAGGCGCAAATTGGATACTGGTTGATAAGTGAACAGTTGGTGAGGATTTAAGGACAGGCGAGGAACATCCCATCACTGGAGTGCTCGTCTTCTTCAGTCACCACCGCTGCCAGTGCCACAAAGATCATCTTCAAAGTAACTTCTTCACCAGAACAACTTCCCTTCGAAAATCATGTTCGCCAATCGAATTGCCATCATCACCGGAGGTGGATCGGGAATCGGCCGGGCGGCGGCGCAGCTGATCGCCAAACAGGGCGGCTCGGTCATCGTGGCCGACCAGTCGCTGGCGAATGCCAAGGAGACGGTGTCATTGCTCGGCAGTGGACAGCAGCAGCAGCACTTGGCCCTTGAAGTGGACGTCAGCAAGTCCGATTCAGTCAGCCACCTTTTCAATGAGGTAAAAGCGTCTTTCTCCGAAGTTTTACGAAGGCACTAATCATCATTTTCCCGTATCAAGGTACCCAAAGCGTACGGCTCGGGAGCGGTGGCGACGCTGCTGGCCAACTGCGCCGGCATCACCAGAGATGGCTGGGTAAGTGGGAGAGGATTGTGGAAAAGTGATCTCTATAATTCAAAAACTGTCTTTCCCCATTAGATGATCGACATGAGCGAGGAGGCCTTCAGCAAGGTGATGGACGTCAACGTGAAGGGCACCTTCCTGACGACGCAGGCCGCCTGCAAGCGGATAGTGGACTCTAAAAGCAGCAACGGCGGCTCCATCGTCAACTTCAGCAGCGTCAGCGCGAAGATCGCCAACCTCGGCCAGGTGAACTACGTGGCGAGCAAGTGCGCCGTGGAGGGCCTCACGCGGACGGTGGCCCGGGAGATGGGCCGCCACAACATTCGCTGCAATGCCATCATTCCCGGCTTTATCGACACGCCAATGATCCGCACGGTGCCAGAGAAGGGTAAGGGAGAAAAGGAGGTGGGTTCTAAATGCCATTTCTAAATCTCTCTTCCATTTTCTTTGTAGTAATGGAGGGCATCAAAAAGCAAACCCCGCTGGGCCGTTGTGGCCAGGCGGAGGAGGTGGCCAAGGCGATTGCCTTCTTCCTCTCCGACCAGTCCTCCTACGTCACCGGGTCGCTGCTGCACGTNTGGATTCATCGATACTCCAATGATCCAAACCGTGCCAGAAAAGGGTAAGGGAGAAAAGGGGGTGGGTTCTAAATGCCATTTCTAAACCTCTTTTCTATTTTTCTTTGTAGTAATGGAGGGCATCAAAAAGCAAACTCCCCTCGGTCGCTGTGGCCAGGCGGAGGAGGTGGCCAAGGCGATTGCCTTCTTCCTCTCCGACCAGTCCTCCTACGTCACCGGGTCGCTGCTGCACGTCTCGGGCGGATTTGCCGTCTGAAGAAAGATGAAGAGAGCTTCTGTTACTGTTTGTTATTGTTCTGTTTTACAACAGAGCGTATTTTATAAAAGATTTAGGTAGTGAAAGGAGGAAGGAAAAACAAGATAAGATAAGGAAATACTGAATCACTGGTACTATTCAGGAGGAAACTCCGCCGCCGCCGCCGTCCTCCTCCTCCTCCAACTCCGACACCATCAGCTTTCGGTCGCCCCGTCCCACAAATTCCTCCTCTTCAATATCAGTTTCGGCGGAGTCGCTGTCGTAGCCGATGTCGTTGTTGTTTCCGTTGTTCAGCCCGAGCTGCTCCTCCACCTCCGCCGCCAGCTGCTCGTACCGCTCCGCCGAGGTGAGCGCCAGGTCAAAGGCGGCATTTTGCATCATGTACGAGTAGCGCCAAATCTGGCCGTGCAGTCGCTTTCCCAGGGGCGACTCGGCATCGGCCTTCTTCAGCGCCCGCCCGTAGCTGCCGCCCTTGTAGACGAGGTAGGAGTAGTCGCCAAAGAGGTTGTCCCGCTTGATGAGAATGCCGTGCACCACAACCACGTCCAGCGGCCGCAGGTCCATGGTGGCGTGCTCGCCGAAGGCGTTGAGGAAGGTCAGCGAGCCGCTGTCGTAGAGGCGGCCAAAGTCCGCCGCGCCGAGGTAGTTGCTGAGGAAGCGGGCAAAGGCGCCCTCGTGGCTGGCCTTCAGCTCGCGCCACCGCTCGGTCAGAAGCTGCTTGTTGAGCAGGCGGCTGCAGGGGTAGCCCGGCACCGGGCGGCCGTTCAGGCAGACGATCACCGTCCGGTCCCGGCCCTCCCGGTCGTTGGCCATCCGCTCCACGGCCAGCACCACAAAGGCGCCGTCGGTGCGGTGTTGGAACAGCGAGTTGGGCAGCGGCTGGGCGCGAGGCGTCAGGAGCTGGCCGCAATCCCAGGCGACCAGCTCCTTCACGCGCTGCTGGTCGAACGCCTCAAAGGTGGCCTCCTTCGCGAGGTACTTTGCCTGGGGTTTCTTCACAAAGGGGTCGAATAGCTGGTGGGGGTGAAATGGAATGTTTAGAAGTAGAAATTGGATTTCCCAAGCACGCACACTCATCACCTACCACTAGATTGTGAAGCTTGGGAATGTGCTGGTTGAAGCGGTCATTTCGGTACAGCGTCAGGCGGTGAA